GCCGGCTCACAAAGCATGTCTCCACAGCCACTGTTCTGCTGTTATTGGTTTAGTAGAAAGCAGGAGGAGGAGGAGGGAGAGTCCGGTTGGGCATTTCCCTGGACATCGAAGTCCCCTTTCCTCCTGCTCTCCGTGTCTGGATCAGTGGTCTTGGGGATGGAAGGAAAGATGGGAAGTTTTACCACTTAGGGAATCCTCTTCTCTTGCTGGCCAGGACTTGCACCCTCTCCCAGAGGGAGTTCTGTAGAAGTCTAAGTCTGGGCTCAGTCCCTCTCCAGTACCCACCACACATGCCAGGCCAAGGCAGCCAATGGGAGTTGGGGTGATCTGTATGTGGGGAGGGCGGGTGTTTCCCCGAAGCTGTTGGAGCTGGACCATCTGTAGGCTGTTGCCCTCCCGGCAGCCCCTACAACCCCACTCACCCTCTTTAGGATTTTGAGTGCTGGATGGGGAGGCTTTGTTGTTAATTTTTCTGGCAACTCTATCCCAGACAAGGACAATAACAGAACATATCTTTTCCTGGACCAAGAGGGGACACTCTCAAGTCCTCCACCCAACAGAAGGGAGGGAGCCAGGAGAGTGCACAGGGATGTCCAGGTAGACCCAGAGCCACAAGAGAAAACTCCTCTCTGAGCACTACTTCTGTTGGCCTAAAACTGTGGCTCAGGAGGGTGGGCTGCACTGTGCCTCCGCTAACCTTCAGCCAGGCTCTGCAACTAACCGTTCTTGCCTGCCAATCACACAAGAACTCCGAAGAGAAGTGGCCCCAAGTCACAGAAGGGTAACCAGAGGAGTAGAAATACCTCGCAGCTCCCACCCAACAGCTGAAGCTGTGGGGTCCAGCACCACACAAGTTCAAACACAAAATTTGGTTTCCAAACTGAGTGTCAGAAGTATGTGCCAGTTTGTCATTGAATTAGTAAGCAGTAGGTGACTTTGCAAAACGAAATGTAGTTTCGGATTCAAGATGAGCCGCGTAGACTTGGTTGCTTTGCTCTACCCAGCACTGGATGTCCCTATGCAGTGAAGGCAGGCTCCTACTCTGCTGCGCTGGCTCCTGAGCCTCTGCCGCCAGGCTGGAGAGACTCGCAGCTTGTTTTCGTTGCTGCCCGATCCTCCCTGCTCGCACTCGCTAGAAGCGGGAGCATCCTAGGGTGGCAGCGCTTGGGAGCCACGCGGGTGCCAATCGGTCACACTAGCTAGGCTCAGCTCATTCCTGGGCTCCTTGGCATTACCTGCAACGAAGTTGCTGCTGCTGAACAAGGGCGGAGGGAAGGGACCTACTAGCTGCGCTGCTGCGAGGTTGAGGATAAGCACATGCCTCAAGGACACAAGCAGCACAAGCCGCAGATCCAGATTCGTTAGTGGATTTTCGAAGGTTTGGGGATCGAGAGGGAAAGCGTGAGAAACCGATTCTGTTTATTGCTCCCGGTGGCCACAGCCCCAACACAGTTGTAAAAGCCCCGGGCTTCACCACACTTGATCCGGCACATGGTGCTCTCCTGGTGGAAGGAATCCTCGGGGGGCTTCCACCGCCTTCTGGAGAGCGTTTTCGAAAGATATAAAAGCTAACTCCCTCCTGGACTCACACGGAGAGGTCGAGGGAATTCAGTCCCGATCTCAGTGCTTCAGGACAAAACAAAACAATGCCCCCACCATGTCCTCACTGCCCAATATGCAGGCAAATGGCAAATTGTCTCCTATACATCACCCCAGCAGGGACTCAGGACCCGAAGTCTGACAGAGAAATTTTGCTAGAGTCCCCAGGCAGCTGCAGCACCCTGGCAAGAATGCCTGTGCAGGCCTCCAGGATGTTGCCAATGAAGAAAGGACAAAAGTCGCCTGGTGATCCAAAGAAGTCTCTTCTGAACATCTGAGATTTGTTCAACATCGGCTACAAGGTTATATTCCTGGGAAGTCTTGGTTGAGAGCATCCCACACGACCCAGAGACCTACTTTGGAACCTAGGAATTGGTATTAGTCCTGCCAGGTCCCAAATCTTCATAGAGAACCCCTTGGACAGAAATTCTGACCATTGTCCCCGTGTTCTTGAGGTCATCCAGGTCACATCGAGGTTCCCTGGAGCTAGGAGGACAGATGGGTAAGGGGGTGTGTGTCTGAAAACAGCTCCAGGGTAGAGCACATACAATGGAGGCCAGGTGCTAGGGAGTCACTCATTTGGGGCCACTTCACAGGTTTGGGTGGGGACAGTTCCTTAGGTATTTTGTACCCCCCATCCCAAGCCAGAACCAATCTGCAGGTAGGCTCTTTCTTGCCTCGGGCAGGAAGGTGACTTTACTCCCAACTCCCACATCCCAGTGCCCAAGTCTCTGCTCTGTTTTTCCATCTATGCTGTAGTAACCAACTGCCACCTCCAACAAAGACATGGAAACACACCTCCATGGTGAAGAGACCCTCATCCATCCTTGCTTGGTGGGCCAGGGTTCCATGGAAGAGTGAGGACTAGTGGTGTGATTGAGATCCCCCCCTGCCCCGTGACACCTCCAGCTCTCCCAGGAAGCACACGTGGCGACTGTAAGGAGCGGTGGTTTTATTTTCTTTGCTACCGGACAGGCCCCACAACGAGCAGCAGCGGTTGTCTGGACTGAGCGCGTGGAGGCTGAATTCTGGAGCGCGTGGAAGAGTTTCATGAGCATAGAGGAAAAAGAGGGGCGGGTGATAACAGGAAACTGGGGTGGTAAGCACATCTAGCAAGGAGGCACACGGGTCTGCAGTGAATCTCTGCCCCCTCCCGGGGGGGGGGCGGTCTGAGAGGGATAAAGGTGATGTTCTGACCACTGTACCTCTCCAGAAGCTGACTTCCTTTAGGAAGCCTGGCACAGGGCCTGGCTAAGCCAAGGGACCTTGTAGACACAGTAGTAGGCAGGAACTTAGGGAATCAGAGCGCCCTAAGTGACCGAGGAGGACCCTCTTCTGGTCCTTCTCCAGTCCCCAGAAGTGATCTGTTCTGGCTCTACAGCCCTCCTCAGCTGGCTATAAGGGATGGAGCAAAGTAGAATCGGTGGGAGTCTCTTCTCTAGCGTACCCCTCCCCCACCAGCAACGAAGGTGGTTCCTGAACTTGGCCATATTAGCATCTGTCCAGCGCAGGGAGCTATTTGGCCAACCCCACACACCTCGAGTGAAGTGGGCAGCACCTCTCACTACAGAGTCCAGTGTCGCCAAATTCCCCAGAGCTTGACTCAGTTAAAAAAGTGGTTCTGAAAACATTTAGTAATAACCATTTCCTCCACAGGACCTGCACTTGCCTATATTTGTTCTCTAAGTGTTGACCCCTATCCCTACTAAAAATTTCTTAGTGGGATGGAGGTACAGAACTGCCTCCAAGGGGACCTGTGTCCGATTTTTCCTTGCTTTTCCACTCTCGCTGCAAAATCCCTCCATGTCTGACCTCTCAGCTTTTAAGTCTGGCCACGTGGGGGCAGGGCCTGGCCAGGGCCAGTGAAGTGGCCTTTCAAGACCTGGAGGTCCTGAACTGAAGGGCCATTGCAGCACCTGGGGGTTTCCTTGGTCAGGAGGGAGTCAGCCTTGGTTCCTGGCTTCCTCCCCGGCGGCAGGCCATCTCCCCAGCTCAGAGGGTGGTGGCCAAGAGCCTGAAAGGCCTGCTACTGCCCGTTCCTCACACCTCCACCGGCCAAGGGTCAGCTCCTGGCTCCCATCCTAGGCTGATCTGGTCCAATCTGGCCAGAATTCTGTGTCCTCCAGCGCAGAGATGGGGATCAGAGGAGGGCTCCATCAAACTCGAGAACACCCTAGAAGCCAGGCCTTTCTGCCTGGGGATGGGGGGGGGGGGCTGGCAGCCTCCAAGACTAGAGAGAAAGAAGCCAGGGCTGGGCTATGGTAGGGTAAGGGCAGGGCCCCTCTGTGGCAGCCAGCTCTTCATTAGCATCTTTGTATCTTTCGGGTGTTCTCCAAATCTCCTTTGAGGTTACAGGTGAACAAGGGACACCTGAGGTGACCTTGAGCACTCTGTGATGTGCAACTCCAATCAGGCTAAGCCCACAGGCCAGAGGACACTCGGGCTCCTTCTGTCATACCACGCCGTGGGGGTGAGCAGATACAGGGCCCTGGAGAGGCAGCACTACCTTAGTCTGCAATGGGAGTTCCTCACCAAGACCTCCAGAGCCCAGTACTGTACACCAAGTGAGCGAACGGATCTGTGACTGAGTCCAGGTAGAGAGACCGAGAAACGGATAAGAGTGAGGTCCTTCCACAACAGGGCCTCCATCTGAGCAGCCAGCTGGGTGCAGGGCTAGGCACCCAGAGCTGTGGGTTCCTCAGAGACGTTTGAATCTCGGCAGGGAAGTGACTCCTCTGGTAGAAGTCTTGGCACACTGCTGCCGCTGCCCTGGGGCTTTTTTTCTGGGTACTTTGGGCCCAGCAGCACTCTCCATTGGATGAGGGGGTCTATAGGAAGGACTCTGGGGACTGCCGTTTTAACGGGGTTGGGGTTCGGTGTGCAGATTTCCGTACTAGAAGACTGGTTTTACTGCACAACAAAGAGTGGATGAGGATGGCGAGAAGCCCCACCTGGGAGGCGAAAGAACCAAATGGCGCCTACCCCTGCTAAGGCTCAGGTGACACCGTGACAGATCTGAATCTTGTTGCCTAGAGGGACCTTGGTATTCGGGAAGGGCGCCCAGGGCAGTGACCCAGCCCCAGCAGCGCCTCCGTTTGTTTCCAATTCAAACTCAAATCGTAGCCATACTCTCAGGAGGAATCCACACTCACCCCATTAGGCCTCTTAGTTGGGGCCACCCTGCTCTTGCCCTGCCAGGCCCCTCGCCGGCTTGAGCTCCGAGTCTGGAGGCTGCGGGGACAGAAGCGCCAGATCTTTTCCAGCCCGCACTCCTCCACCTGTGCCTTGGGTTCTCCAGCCCAAATCGCACCTGGGCCGGGAGAAGCCTAAGGGATGTGTCCGGAAAGGACCCCGGCTCCCGAAAGTGGCCTAGCTCCGGCGCTTCCGCACTCGGTACTCACCTGGGGGCCGCAGCCGCAGCCCAACGGGGCTCGGAGACCGGAGCGCATGGGCCCACCCTGGAGGCGCAGAGGTGCGGGACACCCCGGGGCAAGACGTCTGGCCTTGGTACGGCCGCCCCCCGACGCGGGGCGCGCTGCCCTCAGCCGCCGCGCCCGACCGAGGACCGACGGGTCCAGCGCCGCTCGGCGTCCCGGCCGGTGGCAGAGCACGGAGCTGGAGGCGCCTCGGCTGTTTGTTTTTGAGCCGCGGAGCCCGAAGCTGCAGCCACGGGGTGGGGGCGAGGGGGAGGGGCGGGGGCGGGAGGCCCGCGGGGGGCGGCGGCCGGCGGGGGCTTCGGAGGAGCCGGGTTCTGGCGCGTTGGCCCCGACACCCCCTCCGCGAGCTCGGGGTGCGGGCGGGGACCGAGGGGAGTTGGGGAGGAGAGCGCTCTGGGGCGACGGCGAACGAAAGCTTTTTAATTAGTAATAAAACGCAATAAAACGCAGCAAAACCAGCCCGAACCCGCGTCCGAACTATCAGCGCGTTTGTGGGGAAATCCGAGGAAGTCGCGCAGAAAACCGCAGCGGCCAGTCTCCTTCTCCGCCCGGCTTTGGGCAGGAGCCGCAGCGCTGCGCGGGACAGGGCGGGGGAACGGTCACCTCGCCTCCAGGACTACCTGGGTCCTTTTAAAGTGTCCAGGGTGCGGGCCCCGGGCGGGAGCGACGAGCACAGAATGTTTTCTTAAAGGGCCAGTTCCGAGCTGTGCTGAAAAGGGGGGGGAGGGGGGAGAGAGAGAAGTGAGGTGAAGACCGAGAAGGCATCGGAGAGCCCCCCAATCCCGCGCCGAGGCGGCGGCGGCGGCGGCGCGACGAAGAGGATGATGAACACATTGCAAAGTTTTTTTGGCCCCGGCGAGGGGTGTCAGATTGAGTGCTCTGTGCGCATGTGCGAAGGTGTCCAAACTGACAATGCTAGGGAGATGAAGATAGTGTGTAGCTGCTTCTGGGCTCAAGGAGGAGGAGAGAGATTCCGCGAGCCGACACCATGCGATCCAAGGCGAGGGCGAGGAAGCTAGCCAAAAGTAAGTCTCCCGCGCTCGACCGCGCCGCGTCGCCGGGCCCGGGCCGCGGGGCCGGGGTACCGGGGCCAGGGGTGCGCGTCGGGGCGCGGTCGGCGCGCCTGCGGCTCCGGCCCCCGGTCTACCGCGCGGCCCGGGGGCTGCTCCGCCTCCCGTGCTCCGGGGCGGCCGGGCTCCGCGCGGAGGCTCGGGGCGCCCGGGCCGCGCGCTCCCCGAAGGCGCCGGCCCCCTCCCCGCCGAACCCCCTCCCCCCCACAGTGTCAGGCGCTCGGGCCCGGGAACCCGAGGCGCGCGGTGGGGGCCGGGGAGGGGGGCGGAGGGGGAGGGCCGGGGGTGGAGGGGAGAGAAAAGCGAAAGTTAGCGAAAAGTTGACGAAAGGGGAGAGTAACTTTTCCTCTCGCTCGCTCTCTCCCTCTCTCTCTCCGAGTGGCTCTCAGTCCTGGTCAAATCATATTCCGGGCTTTTGAAATAGTGGGCGCTAGAGCACCGCCTTTGGCGTCCGCCAGCCGGGCTCAGAGGAGGGAGACCCCGAGCCGGGGAGGGGGCGGAGGAGGGGGCGCGGGCCGGCGCCCACCCGGCTCCCCGGGAGCAAGGGCAGGGTTGGCGCAGGCAGGACGGCCGCAGCCGCTGGGGAAGCAACATGGAGACTTTTTCCTGCGCTCGGAACTGTGGTGGTGAAGTTTATTCCCAAGTGGTGCCCCGCGTGGTGGCCGGCGCTCCTCTGTGACTCCGGCAGTTCGCTCGGGCCGCCCGGTGCCGGTGCCTCCGGCAGCAGGGTCCCCACCAGCCGCTTTGCGACCCGCCGCCCTTCCCCAATTGGCCTCGCTCCGACGCTCCCACACACGGTCTCCCTGGCACCCGTGAGGCCCAAAGGGACGAACTGCCCGGGCGAGACTGCCAGGGCCCGGGTCTTACTTTCTCTTTCGCTCCGCCCTGGGCCGAGCCTGGGGCTCTGCGCGCAGCCAGCCGCAGGCCAGTCCCCACCGCTGCCCGCGAACTCCCGCCGTCCGCACCACCGCCACCGCGTCTCGGAGCAGCCCGCGCGCCCTCCTTGCCCGGCGCCGGCGCCATCCGCTACGAATCGGGCCGGGGGCTTCGGCCCTTGCAGCCAGCAGGTGGGGACCGGCTGCATCGCGGCAGGGAAAGCGCGGCTTCAACAGACCCGGCCATGGCCCGGTTACAGCGAAGCGGCGAGCGCTGTGCGCAGAGGATACGAATCGCTCATCCCTGACGCCCCCTCCTCTACCGCGGGCCCGTGAAAGGGGCGCCCGGCACGCTGGCTCGAGGTCCCTGCCTGATCACCAGGTAGTTGGTCTGCCCCTCCAGGGCTGGATCCTGCCTGGCTTGGCCTCTTGGCTTCCAGAGCCGAACTCTAAAAAGCATGAGCCCAAAGGGTGTGGGATTTGCGATAGTTTTCCGAAGCCAGGCGCTTTCAGCTCCGGACCCTGCCGAACTTGGCCCCACGGCGGCCCCGGCTGCCTTAGGCCGCGCGCCCACCCTACAGGGAAAAGCAACTTCCAGCCTCCACCAGGCTTCCTGGGCTCTGCGGTTCGTGGCCCCTCGGTTAGGAGCCCCTTTCCCGCCGAGCTCCCTGGCCAGCTGCCCTTGACCTCGGCCTCCTGGGCCACCCATGACCTCTGACCCCTCTTGGTGCGAACAAGGCCAGTAGTTGCCCACAGGATACGAATGAGCTGTGTGCATACTGCGTGACTATCCACGACGCACGGAGCGGGTGTGCTGTGTACTGTTAAGAGTCTGGTGGGCGCCATGGAGTTTGCAGAGTCTCACCAGGGCCCCTGGCTGCAGGCTGGGCTGGTCAGGCTCCCGCAGAGAAAGGACCCAGAGCTGGAAGGAGAAGAGTAAAGCTACCGCGCTCCTTTTGCCGCCGCCTTCGCTGCAAGCGAGAGACTGGCTGAGCGCACCCTGCGCGGCCCCGGAAACTTCCCAGAGGTCTACAGCCAGTCGGCGCCCTGCTGGGCCTCAGCTCTCTGCCTGCTCCACCTCCAGGTGGGGAAGGTTACCTGGCCCCGGTCTTATTTAGGGTCGGAACGGGCTCCCGGCTATGGCCTTGAGGCCTTTCCTGGAGGCCCAGAACCGGAGGACACAGCCGGTGGAGTGCACTGTTGAGGCTTCTCTTTGCCGGGCGTCCTTAGAAGCTGCCCAGAGTCCCTGCTTGGGTGCCACCCTGAGACATGGTTCCAGGCTTTGTGATTTAGTATTGCCGACACCAAAGCCCCCTTAAGAAGGTGGTTAAGGCAGCTCGGGATGAAGGCAGCTCAGGGCCTACAGAGGACTTTTGGATTTCATTAGACAATGTTTTAAGCAGATGTGGCAGGCTCCTGGGGCACCTGACTCCATTACCTGAAGCAAGGATGATAAGGAGCCAACCTCTTAGGCTGGCCAGCAGGGTCAGGGGCAGGGGAAGGAGCAAGGTCATGACGGTTCAGGGTTTTTGCACTGCCCTTGCTCGTGGGCCCTTGAGCGGTCACTGAGACTGTGCTGAGGACAGAAGGACATCTGGGCCAGTGGATGTGACCTCAGGACACAGGGCTTGGGAGGCCTGTCCGGGGTGTGCATCTTGAGGTGTAATTTCGTTTGTATTTCTTAGTAATCCTACTCTAGACCTCTGTCTGCCTGGCTTACTCAACTGGGCCTTTTAGGTGCTCCCACTTGATAGAATTTAGGGGCCCAGAGTAGAGACTTTATGTTGAGCTTTCTAAGATTAGAGGTGTCTGAGGCACCCCCACTGGGGGACTGTGATTCAGCTAGTGGGAAACCTAAGCCTGAGGCAGGGGCAGAGTGAAGACAATTTAGGGCAGGGGTCCCCTTATTCACCTTGGGCCCGTGCTCGTCAATAAGGACTTGAGGCTGCCCTGACCCTACATTTAAAAACGAATTTCTTAGCAATGGCTTATTCTTGTCACTGCTGTGATCCAGGTGGGCAGGAGGGGGCTTGGTCGGTGATGGTGCCCTCCTGACCTCAGTAACTACCTAGCCCAACTAGAACACTGTAGCTAGGAACCCCACCAGAGCCACATTTAGCTGATTTCTGTGGAGGCACCACACATCCCACCCTGCTGGGTGTGGGGCTTCCGCATGAGTGTTGTATGTGTTGGGGTGCTGAATTGCTAATTCAGTGTAGTAGTTGTGTGAAGCAGGTTAGGTCGAAGGAGGCCCAGCTCAAGGCCTATGCCCTTCCCTGTTGAGACAAGCCGGGGCCTATGCTGTCTCACTCTTGCCCTTCTACCCTCTCCAGAGAAGTGAGAGTCCAGGAGACAATCTTTTCTCTCGGGCTGCAACAGCAGCAGGAACCTGTAGACGGGAATTGATTGCCTTGCCCGCTTTAGGCGAAAGGTGGAGCATGCTTGGTGGAGGGGCAGCCAGGGTGCAGGGCTGGTGGCCAGTGTGCCCTGCAGCTCTGTGCTGTGTGCCACAGGCCTCGCTTCTGCCACCCCTGGTTGGTATTTGGGGGTAGGAGGCCTGGTGTGTGTAGGTCTTGCCAAAGCCAGTAAGGCACGCACGTGCTGGGTAGGTCCCCTCAGGCTGTGCCCCAGGGTCTGACTGCTGCTGCTGCTGCTGCTGCTTCAGCATTCTGGAAGCCTGGGAGGAACAGGTGCGAATTAGACTTAGCCTTTCCTCCTCCCGTTTCTGTGACCCCCACACTCCTACCTGGGCAGTGCTGGGGACAGAGAACTAAGTTCTCTCTTTTTCGAGGCTATGTAAGGGTGGCAATGAGCTCCCCCGCCCCCAGGGCAACACTGCCTCAGCTGTGACTGCTTACAGGGCTTCGGTGGGCCATGATTAGCCCTCTGTTTTATTCAATTAGGAGGCAATTAGGGATCCTTGGGGGAGGGGGCTGGTACTGGTAATTAAGGTTATGTATAATTAGAGTTACAACAAAATTATCCAGGATTAAAAATCTTTTGAGTAATTTCGTTAAAAAATTTCAAATAGCATTAAATACAATTTATCAGGTTTTGAATCAAAACCCGAAGCTCCGGTAGAAGGCTCTGGGGAACAGCGTTAGCACTTTCCCTCAGGAAAGAACTTCGGGAGATGGAGGGAGTCTCTCTCTGGGCTTCAGCTTTGCTGAAAGGCAGCCTGGGGTTGGGGGTGCAGATTCCAGCAGCAGGCTTCAGATTGCCAGTTCCCCCGCACCTGCCCAGGGAACTCTCTCCAGGTGTCTCCCAGCTCCCTTCTCACAAAGCCATAGACAACTGTGGAGCCGTAGTGTCTACACTGCACCAACGTATGCCTCTGACCTGACACCATGGCAAGAGTGCCTTTCTACTTGGGGGCCACCTTCTGGCTTCCTGGGTGTTCTTGCCTGAATTTCCAGACCCTTCCACCAGACCCAGAAATCCCCAGTCAAGGTCTCTGCCTGTCCTGTTCTCTTTACTCTCCCTTGGCTAACCTGCACTCTAGAATGCGTACAGGTGTGCCCACCCACCCCGGGTTTGAACTGGGGTGGGGAGAGTGATCTGGGAAAACAAGGTGGAGGGTAGCCTGCATTGGGAGTTGCTCTGCCCCTGTTCTGTGTGGCACCAGCCTGGGAACAGACCCTCAAAGTGCCTGTGGGTGCCTTCCACCCTCCTGGGTAGGTGGGAGCCAGCATCCCCTTCACTCGCCCAGGGAAGGAAAGGAAAAAGTATGGAACAGAGGGACACCTCCTCCGGAGGTAAGAGATCCCTGAATAGGTGCAGTAATTCATACTGTTACACATCAAGTTCAAAACCTTCAGGGTTTCTCAGTATGGTACTGCAGTCTATAGTTAATTCCATAGTGTTTTAACTAATTAATTAAAATTTTTTAACATGTCAGGGTTAAAGCATCTCACGACCAATGCTTACTGTGGTCTGTTCTTAAAGGTAGACTCCATGCATTATAACCCGTGAATGCAGCCATCAGATTTATCCCCCACTTGCCTGCAGATTGGAATCCTATTTGCTCAGGGCTGGACTCTCCCCTCCAGGGAATGATTGCATAGCTTGTCCTCACCTGTC